GGACGGAGGGGAGGCCGCCAGGGGCTGCGGGGCTTGGTGCGACACCCTCCTGCCCCCGGTGCAGGTCACACCCCTGCTGCAACCGCACCAGTGCTGTACATCACGGTGCCGCTCAGTGCCTCGGTTTCCCCACACCTCTGGGGGGCTTGGGGAGGTTTGTGAAGTCTTTGAGCTCAGGGGGCGAGCGCGCTGCAGGGGGGGAAAGGGCTGTAACTGTACACACAAACCGTGACTTCGCCTGTGTCCAACGAGCCACCGACTCCCTTTCTGCGGCTCGCTCTCCCTGTCCCGTGTGAGTGGCCGAGGCTGGCCAAGAGGCACACCCCAGCCGCTCGCTGGAGGCACTTTCTGGGGGTGCTGTGGGGGGCCCTGAATCAGGCCCTCGTTCACCAGGAGCCTGGCTCTTTCTCTTCCCCATGCGGGAGTCCGGCCTGCCACGGGCGGGAGAAATATCCTCATTTTAAAGCAGTGACGCAGACCTTACAATAAACCCCAGCCAGAGCGTTCTCACGGCTCTGCTCCCGCCCAGCCTGCCTCTGGCCTCCACCCCCGGCACCTGCCGCGGGAGCTGCAGAGTTTCAAAGGCGCTCGGCTCCCCTTCAGGTACCCAACAGAGGGGGCACGTGCTTTTCCAGCGGGTAAACGGCACGGGAGGGGCCTGGTCTCCTGCCCCCTGCCCAGCCATTCACAGTGCACTGCAAGGTGCAACATGCTGGCAAACTGGACCACGTCTGTTTTCATGGGACCCCTGGAGACTGCTCCGTTAAAGGGACGTCTCTGCTGAGCCGAGAGCGTTACCAGGGAAGGGGGAAATCCAGTTTTCTTGTCCCCGTCTGTGCGCTCTGTTCGCGTTCTGCATGTCGCCCAGCCTGGCGCTTGGCGCCGGTTTTGCTCGGCCTTGGAGTCCATTTCACTCCTGCGCTTTGGGGGGAAGTTACCGGTGTAGAAATGATCCGTTCTCGCTTTCCCAAAACCTCCTTGCTAAGCAACGTTCAATCCAGAGTTCAGCGTGCCGCTCCCGCTCGTCCCCCGCTGAGCCGCCCCGTGACCTCGGCATGGGCACACGCAGGTGGGCGGGTTTCATGTTCCAAGAGACAAGGGAATAGGCTGGCGTCTTTCGCTCCTGCCTGGGTCCGAGCCGCGCAGGCCGGGGCCGGGGCCGGGGCCGGGGCCGGGGCTGGCACGAGAGAAGACGCTGAAGCGTTTCTGGTGGACAAGCCTAACACTGCGAGTCGTCCTGAAATCTGGTGTCTGAGTCAGATTCTGTCCTCGCTGGAACACTTCTCTCCTTGCCCTTCGGCGGCACCTTTCCCATCCGCCCTCTTGTCTCTTGGGAGTCGACTCCTGCCTTCGTTCCTCTGAGCAGCACCGCCAGGCCCTCCCACCTTGGCCTCCCTCAGGCTCAGGCCTGGAAACTGCCATCTGCTGCTGGCTGGCCAGGGAGTGCGTCGCACGGTGGTGGCTGACATGGGACATCTCCAGCAACGGGAGCCTATGGGCAGGGCTGTAACAGACCCGCAGCGCCTGTGGACAGGGGGCACGTGATGCCTGTTGCCCCGGGGGTTACCGGTACCACAAGCTGGGCACGCCCCTAGTTCACGGCCCAGGGCCAATTCCCTTCATGCAGACGGGCCCGAGTGTAAATTCCTGGGGGCAGGGCCTGTCACTCACCCCGTGGCTGTGGAGCGCCCACCTGGCTCTAGGCACTACGGCGGGGGAGCTCCGGGTTTCTCCCCTGCAGCAGGGGGGTGGAGCTAGGGGGGAGATGCCTGCCGGGGCTCAGAGCTTCAGCAGGAGTGGGGCTGGCGGCCCGAGTCCCGGCAGGTGCGCCCAGCTCTCCAACGTCTGAAGATGATCTCACGCGGCTGGCTGGGAGGGTCAGTAGGTTGGGTCACCCCGGCACTGTGGCACTGCGGGATGCTACCAGTCCTGCATGGGGCACTGGGGTGACCAGTGGCCTGACGTGTCCGGACCCACATCCAAGTCCTGTCCTGAGGCAGAAGCGGGAGTGGGGCCCCCGGGCCGTCTCCGGGGACGTGCAGCAGTGCAAACCTGTCCGAACGCAAAACCAGCCTGATGAACTGAATCCAAAGCCCCAGCCCCAGGACTCGGTATCCTGCGCTCGGCTACGGGGCAGGCCGGAGCTGCGGGAATCCCAGACACACACACAGGACCCAGGGCGCGATGCCAGGGAGGCAGATTCTGTTGCAGTCTTGTCTCTGGAGCCGCTTGGCCAGCCAAGCCGAGAGCGTCCCAGCCCCGGGCTGGCGCCCTGAGGTGGCATCTGCTCTGCCCTGCGGCTGTGATCACGAGGCTGCTCTTCCTCTCCGTGCTGAAAAGGGACTGTCCCGTAAAACCTGGGCTGGGCATCAGGCCTACCCGCTGGGCACGGCCAGGGCACTTCGGCCAGCCAGGGAGGGCACGCCGCTGGCTGAGGAAGCCGTGGGGGAACCGTGTTGGTCTGGTGCAGAGATCTGCTCCCTCCTCCCCCAGCCCCGCGGTGGCACCACACAACGCTGCTGGCCTGGCAGGTTTCCATTGTCCCTTCAGCTGGTGCTGGGCCGGGGGGGGGGCTCTGCTGGCCCGTGCAGGGGCCTGGGGCTCGGAAGGGGGGGTCTCAGCCCTGGCAGGACAGCAGGCCCCTCTGAGGGGTCGCACGCTGGCACCTGCAGTCACTCGGCCTGGTGGGAAATATCGTCCTCCTTTGGGCCCACACGGTCCCTGGGGAGATGTGGGGCTCTGGAGTGTGTGCTCCGGCCGGGGGCAGCTCCCATCCTCCGCCTCCCCATCTGAGCACTCGGCCCTAGGGGGCAGTTTGTGAGGGCCCCCCTCTCACTGATGATCCAAGAGGGGGCCCTTGGGGGGTCCCTCCCTGCCATGATCCAAGGGAGTTGGGCTGGGGGGGGGCAGTTTGGGGGGCTCTTCCCCCCCATGCTCCTAGTTTGGTGGGGTCCCCTTCCCCCCAGGCTTGGGAGTCTCAGGGGGGGTCCCCCATCCCCAGGCTCCTGGGGGGCAGTCCCAGTTTGGGGGGTCCCGGGCTGGGTCCCCTTTCCCAGGCTGGGGGGTCCCCTGTCCCCAGGCTCATGGGGGGGCAGTCCCGGTTTGGGGGGTCCTGGGCCGAGTCCCCTTCCCCAGGTTGGGGGGGTCCCAGTTTGGGGGTCCCCTGTCCCCAGGCTCGCGCGGGGCGGTCCCGGTTGGGGGGGTCCCGGGCCGGGTCCCCTGCCCCAGGCTGGGGGCGGGCGGGGGCCGGGCTCCTCCCCGGTGGCGGCGGGGAAGGCGGAGCCGCAGGCCCGGGGGAGCCGCCGAGGCTGGAGCAGCAGCAGCGCCGCCTCTTCCCCAACAATAGCGGGGCCGCCCGGGAGCCGCCGCAGCGGGAGCGGCCGGGG